CCCCAAAACCCCAAAACCCCAAAACCCCAAAACCCCTTTTTAATGTTAATTTTTAATTTTTTGATTTTAGGAAATTTCAGGTTTTTCGTAGGATATTTCAGACTGGATTTCGAAAATTTTAGAGGTCAGTCTAGTGGCATCTAGCTCAGGGATGAGCGAGGTTAAGAATACTAAGTAGTTATCTTGGATGTAGTCTTGTTGTTCTGGCTCGTCGTACAGTTTTTGGGTAGCGACCTCAGCGAGGTTGAAGTAGAAGTTTAGTTCGGTTTGAGTAAGCATTTTGTCGCCTCCGCCGATGCCTCTGACTAGGTCTCTGGATTCGTTCTTGAATTTAGTGACAACACTTTCCCATACCTTCTTTTCCGAGGTTCCAGATGCTCCTTTAGTCCTGAGTCTATGTGAAGTTCCTTTCGTCTTCTCCCTTAGCTTCCTATATAATCTGTATTCGAGTGTCTTAAGCTTGCCGAGGGAGAGGACTCTATCTTCATCTTGTGACTCATCGACTCTTCTCCTAACGAAATAGATCACACTTCCTTCTTCATCAGTGACAATTGGAGCTCTAGCGATATTTTTGTACGTTTCCGTCAAGGTCTCCTTCATTGATGCATAGGTTGAGAAGACTCCTAAGGACTCATAAGTGACTGTATCAAGACCATACTTCTTGAATACTTCCATACTCTTTTCAGGTAAAAGTCAACTGTCGATAGATTCCTGGGTTGGTGACTCCAAGTCCCCGTTTTCAACCATTGTATAGAAGATGATCCTTATTTTAGGGTAGAAGATCAGATGCACGTGATTTGGATCCCCACAGTACTCTCCTATAAGAGTCTTACCATCGATATCTTTCTTAAGATCTTCGACATTGATACCATTGGCCTCAATCTCTTCTAGTTTATCAAACCAACAGTTTGCAATGAGCTTGGAGAATTGAAATCTTAATGGATTCTCTGACTGATCATAAGCTTCTAGGTCATCTCTTGATTTAGCCAACATTGCTACATTTTTAGAGCAGAATACCCAAAGCCCAAGCTGTGAGTTCCAAGAAACCTGAGCATTTTCCCCATTCGCTTTAAGTGTTTTGACCATCTCTACTTTATATCCATCCTCAAATGATTTGTAAGGGCCTGCAAGAGTGACATTCATCTGTGTGAATGACTTCTTTTTGTCTTCTACGAGTCTGCTCTTGCCATCTTTCTTAGTGACTTGCTTCTCTTCTGATCCTTCTTCAAGCATCTCTCTATAGATATCGTAAAACTTGATCATTCCTTTACGGCCAACAATGAGCTGGGATTTTCCACTCTCATCGTTAAATTTAAGGAAGGAGTTGCCTCTACGGATGTTTTTGAGAATATCTATGTTGCTTAGATAATCACTATCCTCAGATACACCTCTAGCGTTAACTTTCACGTCGATAATAGTGATATTAGGGTAAGGAACTGCTTCATTTTCCATTAACTTTAGTTTTGTCTTCTTTTTTTTTCCCTGCCCTTTGACCTCCTTATTTGATAGCTCTTCAATCTTATCGAAGTTATACACTGGTGCAAGATCTATGTGTGGGTAGGAGAGAGAAGGACTGGATAAGAAACCCTCCTTTACAAAATATTTTGATTCTTCCTCAGTTGACTCCATAATGAGCTTAAATAATTTTAATTAAGAACTACACTAGATTTGCACCTAGGTGTCTTTGTCTGTCAATTTTAGCCACTAAATAGGGGTTTTGGGGTTTTGGGGTTTTGGGG